AAATACTAATAAAAAAAATTTTCAGCCTGGTAATTAATATAATAAATAAGACTAGAATATAGACAGAAATAAATAAGATAAAACTAAAAAATAAAAAAAAAAAAAAAAAGCAGGACCAGAGTAAGAAAAAAAAAAAAAAAAAAAAAAAAAAAAAAAAAAAAAAAAAAAAAAAAAAAAAAAAAAAAAAAAAAAAAAAAAAAAAAAAAAAAAAAAGAAAGATTACTTTTATATATTTTATATAAAAAAAAAATACAGAGAAGAGTGAATACAATCTAAAAAAAAAATAAAAAAAATAAAAAAAAAATAATAGAAATTTATTTTTTATTATTAAACTTAGAGTGAAGTAAGATTATAATTCTAAGTAAAATATTAAGAATATATCTCTTATTTACTAAAATCAAATAAAATAAATTTATAAGTAATATAATTAAAATAAAAAGTAAGATAAGGCCAGAATAAGAAAAATAATAATACAGAATTAAAGATAAATAAAATAAATCTTTTTATTTTTATTAAATATGGAAGATAACAAGTCTATATTTTTATATATATTTATCTTTAATCTAGGCTAGTCTAATACCCGGCTGGAAGCATAGATTATCTTTATTTATAAATAAAAAAAAAAAAAAAAGAAAGAAAGAGAAAAGAAAAAAAAAATCTTTTTTTATAAAAATTTAAATTAATTATTTAACTAATAAATTAATTAGACAAGTTTATATTAAAAAAAAAGTTCCTGCTTAAAATAATAGTAAAAATTATATTAAATAAATGATTAAGATCAAAGTATAAGAAAGAAAAACCCAGGAATAAAAAAAATAAGAATAATATAAGACTTAAAAATTAAATACTAAAGATAAGAGTACAGATAAAAAAATTAAAAACTAGAATAAAATATAAAATTACAGCAGAGTAAATCAGCTGAAAATCTAAATCTAGAATACTTTAGTTTATAAATATACTAGTTCTTATATTATTATCTTACTAGAAAAGAGAAATAATATTATAAAATAAACTTCTATTAAAAAACTTAATTAACTAGTCTTATTACTACCTGCTAACTAAATATAATATATAAAACCTTAGAAGCTCTAAGACTCTGTTCTGAACAGCAGTTATTCCTTCTTGTCCAACAGGCGACGTACTCTTGGAACCAAGGGGCGACCCCTAACAGTATATGATTATATAGA